GGCGCTTACTCCCACCTCCGCTGGTGGAGTAAGAGCGTCGATTCGGGGATCGATTGTCACGTCCCGACAGGACACGATAAATCGATCCCCAAGAGGTCGATTTCTACCCGCCGATCCAGGCGGGTAGTGTAGACCTAGCCTAAGGTGCCACAAGTACTCCTGATTTTTTAGCAACCAGCAAGTTGCCCTTAAGATCAGCAGACTAGAGGTGGATGGAGAGAAAGAATTATCTCCCTTTGACAGGTGTCGTTCTTCTGCTAGCATTGCAGGGGGAAGTCACATCAGTACTACCAGGCTGCACTTATTGCTTACACCATAGAGGATTGCAAGGGCACTTTGAGATGAGGCTTAAAAAAAAAAAGTAGGGATGGGAGTAGTAGGTGGTAGCCACCAGCTCTTAAACTAAGGGCTTGTCTACATTACTGGCTGGATCAAGGGGCAGCAATTGATCCAGCAGGGGTCAATTTATCATGTTTAGACTAGACACGATAAATCGATTGCCAAGCGCTCTCACAGTGAGGACACTGCGGTAAGTAGATCAAAGTACATTGACTTCAGTTACACTCAGGGCCGGCTCTGGCTTTTTGGCCGCCCCAAGCAAAAAAAGAAAAAAAGGGGGGGGGGCGTGCAGCCAGAAGGGCAAAGCAAAGGGAAAAAAAAAAGAAGACACCTGCGGCGCAGCTGGAGCGTGGGTGCAGGGAAACCGGCTGAGGTCGGGGGGAGAGAGCGGGACCGATAGAGAAGGGGGTGGCCAGGGCTACAGCAGGGGCGCTGCCACACGGCCCCTCCCGCTGCACCGCCGCCAGGGCTCCGTTCCGGTCAGCGGGAAGGGAAGGAAGAGAACTGCCCTGCAGCGCACTCTGGTTCTCCATGCCGCCGCCCCCTACAGGGCGGCCGGAGCAGAACCAAAAAAAAAGCAGCCATGCCACCCTAGGATTGGGCGCAATGCCGCCTCGAAAAATCTGCTGCCCCAAGCCCCAGCTTGCTCAGCTGGTGCCTGGAGCCGGCCCTAGTTACACTATTCACATAGCTGAAGTTGCTTAACTTACATCAATTCCCCCTAGGGTGACCAGATGTCCTGATTTTATAGGGTCAGTCCCGATATTTGGAGCTTTTTCTTATATAGGCACCTATTACCCCCCCCCACCACCACCTCCTGTCCTGATTTTTCACACTTGCTACCTGATCACCCTAATTCCCCCCCACCCACCCCCCAGTGTAGACCAGGGGTAAGTAAGGAGAGAATAGTGGAATTAGTGTGTGGGGCAGTGGGGAACTAGTGTTAGTCTACTTGTTCTAGTGCCCTACACCAGGGAAAATGAGTAGTGCAGTCACTCATGTGCAGGATATTCTCTTGGCCTGTGCCATTAGCTTTTAATCCCCCACCCCCCAAATGCATAAGCTTTGCTGCTTAAAAATCCATCAGGGTTTTTTTTTTTGTCATTTTAGTGTCAGTTGGTTTATTACTGGGCACAATACAATTTCACTTCCTCATACACACAAGCCACAGTAACATGTCAAACATTTCCTCTCCCCGATCATGGTTAAACTGTTTAAAAACAAGACTAGTCCACCTTGTCAGTCTGTTCTTGAGAGGGATTCTACTACCATACCTTGCAATAGCAGCAGCTCTGTCACAAACACTATTTAACAGCAGGGAACTTGCCAGGTGAAGCTGATGAGTTTAGTCTTTACTGCTTCATCAGCTTCCTTCTCCCCCACTCAACACTGTCAGGACAGCTTTTTCTCCACATGTAAACTCAAGGTCTGGTAAGGGGCTCACACCTTTGTGCCACACCGTGCACTGCAGGACACGAGCTGTTACACCGGCAGACAGACATTCCCCCTCTTAAGGAAAAATACTACACATTACAATAAATACATCTTCAAGTTGCAAAAGTAAGTGCATTGGTTCTGTCCCTTTGAGACAAATATAAGGAGGTAGGGCTCATAAGAACCTATAGAGGCAAATTAATTTTATATTGCACAGGAGCCCCGGCATTATACTTTAAAGTCCGGTCACTGTACTGGAGGTGGGAGAGGGAAGAAAGAGGAGGTCTCATTTGATACCAAGCATGCTCTTGTCCCTGCCACTGTACAAGTGGCTTTGCCAGTCTGAGGTAGAGTGACCGTTATACTGCGAAACAACACTGCAGTCGAGTCCAGCTCAACTCGTGTCCAAAATAAAAGTACACTGAAGAGGACAGCATCCTCTCTCTCTAAAAGAAGAGTGAACACCATACTGTTCACATTTGACTGCCACAGAACCAAGCCTTACAGTGAAAACTCACCAACCAGTCATGATCCTCACACCCAGCTAGGAGACCAGGAATGGGCACCATGTTTCCACAGGTGGTGAGTGCGGCAGCTCAAGTATGCTTGTAGCAGTTTCCCCGCCCCCAACTACTTGTTCACTGTCATGCTTATGTCTCAACCAGTCCAATATTTTTTCCTTGTTTTCCTTCCCCCTCATGTCTTCATTTGAAAATATCAAATGGAAGACATCTCCCCTTTCAACCCTCTGAGATAGGAATCTCATTCACACCTCCACTAAAGGCTCCTCAGCCTGGCATAGATAGGGCAGGATGGAAACAAGGGCCTCCTCAATGGAAAACAAGTGTTCGTCCTCCACCTGGGGACAAAAGTAGCGCATGAAGTCTGCCAGTCGCAGCAGATACTCTATGTTGTGTCCAGACCGACCGCTCGAGACAATGATCTGGGCTGCAATGTCCTCTTCAGACGCTGGGCCAAGGTAGGTGGGGTTCTGGGGTGTAGCAATGTAAACTAGGGCCAGGATGGGTTCGTCAGCCTCTTTATCCTGGGGGTGGAACTTCACTAGTTTGGTGTCATAGCCCCCCAGGACTGCTTCTCGCATGTTCAAGTACTGGAGCGATGCAGAAATCTGCTCTCCATGAACTTCATAGGCAACACCCCACGTGCATGCCTGAAATTACAAGTGAAGGTTATTTGCTGCTGCAAATACAATGCAACAAATGCACCAGCATTTCCTATACGAAACCTTTTGTTTCAGGGTGCATAGTCACCCTGTCTAGTTAAACAATGGGAACAAGGCCTGAAAAGACAACCAGGCATCTGAGAAGGGACAGCACAACTGATCCAAGGAAAGGGATGGAGGAAGATATGGTAGTCTTCTTCTGTTCACCAAGAAGGCAGCAAGGAATAGTTGCCTCTGTCTTTCAAAGTCACTTAAAGTGCAAAATTCAGCTCTTGGTGTATGCCATTGAAATAAGAGAAACTGGCCCCAGAACACTCCCAGCAGCCCAGTATTCTTTCACAGGGCAAAAAGACTATCTTCTGACTAGCTTATTCTGGAGGGGTAAATCTAGTGTCCACTTTCATCTTGCAGGACAAGGGACCAGATTAATCACTTGTGAAAAGCACCAAAGTGAGTGTGAGTATGAATTTGGCACAGCATGTCCCATTTCATTTAATTTGCCATGTCTCTAGTTTTAACTCTAACCTTCTTTGGCTGAATGGTCTAATGTAGTGTCTGCAAATCCCTCACTCCCAGCTGAGTCTGCTGACTAAAAAAAATAAGAACTCCAGCAAGGCCATCATGTTGATTTATACTAACCCACAAAACTGTATCCCAGGGTTGTTTTACCATTATTATGGGATACAGTTGCCAAGGGGTTACCCCTGCCATGTACTTAATGAGGGAGATGTTGATTAGCTACTGAAATAGTCTAGTATCATTACTGTGGGAGTAATCCAACTAAAGCCATATAATAAACCTGAATAGTAGCAGCTATAGGTTTAATATATTTCATTCTAAAAGATGCTAGATGTAGATACTTACATCATAATCCTCCTGGAGGGTAACCACACGGCCAGGCTACACAGGGAGAGAAACATCATTTTAGAAACCAGATCAAGTACCAAGTCACCAGTACAGGCAGGCTAGGATGATACAGCCTTGCGGAAACCCACCGCAGCTCCAGGTACCACCACTACACTGCAAGTCACTGCAGGCCCATGAGACAGCTGCAGGGCACCCAGCATCATAAAGATGGCACCAGCTTCAGACAGGCTATGGGTTGTGCCAGGAGGCAGCGGGGTGGGAAGGAGGCAGATTTTTTTTCAAGATTATTAGATCTGGAGCTGAATTTACAAACAGCTGAATCCTGGAGAGAGTCTGGGCAGGTGCCTTTATCAGTATCAAGGGCCACTTTTCACTTCCAGTAGAGGCATCTAGCCCATCCCACCCAGCCACTGACTCGAGGTGCTCCAAGGGCACGTAGATGCCAAAGGGGTGGCTTGGATTGGCTACTTCCCGCCACCACCCCCGTGCCCATGGCAAGGAGCGGGAGATTCACCCCCAGGGTTACCCACCTTCTCCCCTCCCTGGGCCCGCCGCACTCCCTCCTTGTGCCCAGCAGCCCGCGCCGATTCCCGCACCACCACCACAGCCCGGGGCCCGATCCCCCTCCCGAGCCAGCGCCCGATCCCCCTTTACCATCTTCTCGTTGCCGCGGTGGAAGGTGTCTCCCTGCCAGAAGCGACGGCTGTAGCCGCGGATGAAGCCCACCTTCCTGGAGCTGAACTCGAAGTCGGGTCTCCATACCAGGGAGCCGTAGCCGAAGATCCAGAGGGGCGTTTTCTGCTCCCCAGCATCCTCCTCCTGCGCCTGGCGCTCCGCGGGCAGCGGGTCCCGCTTCATCGCCCCGCTGCACGGACCCAGCAGGCGGGGGCGGGGGCCGCTGGCGGCGAGGCGGGTGCAGCAGCGCTGCAGTGGGCTCCCGAGGCTGCTGCACGGGGGCAGCCCCAACGCAGGGGCGGGGCGGCGAACACGGCTGGGGGCCCCCCGCGGCAGGGACGGGGCTACCGGGCACTGGGCGGAACGCGGGGCAGCCCCAGCGCTTTATACCCCAGCCGGCGCAAGCTCCGCCCACCTGTCACAGTGACGTGCGCTAGGAAGGGGCTCGTTGTCGCCGCCTCCAATCAGCGGCCCCGGCTCCGGTCCTCTGCCTCCATGCGGAGCTGTGATTGGGAGGAAAGGCCTTCAGTCCGGGCGGAGCTCGCTCGCTGATTGGTCGAATGCTGACTCCTGTATCAATCCAGGATGATGCAACGGAACGGGGATCTTTCGCCGCGCCGTGCGTAGAGCAAAGCCGGCGGCTGATTGCATCAGGTAGCCAGGGCATGGTGAGAGGCTGGGGGCGGGACAGATGTGGGTCAGTAGGAAAAAGGCCGTCTCGTGGAACGCTGATAGCTTGGACTGGTCCAAGCCTCACAGCCGAGTTCAATGTCTGTCTCTGTCCCTTACTCTCTAAAATGGGCACAATCATGCTTACCTATACCACAGCCTAAGCTAAATAGTGATGTTACACTGATGGGGAGGGGGGATGTTGTAAGTAGCTAAATCGTAGTAGTGGGAAGGGATAGAATACAGTAAAGATCTGGTGTTAAGATGTAAAGAAGCAGGTTATCAGAATAAATGGTTTTAACTTCCAAACTGTTAAATCATTTAATTACATAGTCTTATTACTGATACCTCCTCCTCCCACCCCTCCTCTCCTATTGTTTGTCACCGACTTGATATGTTTTATCTCAGACTAAACTGTACAATTTCTAGGGCAAGGACTACTTGTTTTATACAGATCTTCTGGCACAGGGGAGCCCTGTCCCTGACTGGAGCTACTGGAAGAGAAATGAATAACACTGGGAGAGAAGCAACAGCGAGTCCTGTGGCACCTTTAAGACTAACATGTATTGGAGCATAAGCTTTCGTGGGTGAATACCCACTTCGTCAGACAGATGTAATGGAAATTTCCAGAGGCAGGTATAAATATGCAGGCAGGAATCAGTCTGGAGATAGCGAGGTTAGTTCAATCAGGGAGAGTGAGGTCCTCTGCTAGCAGTTGAGGTGTGAACACCAAGGGAGGAGAAACTGCTTCTGTAGTTGGATAGCCATTCACAGTCTTTTTTAAATCCTGATCTGATGGTGTCAAATTTGCAAATGAACTGAAGCTCAGCAGTTTCTCTTTGGAGTCTGGTCCTGAAGTTTTTTTTCTGTAAGATGGCTACCTTTACATCTGCTATTGTGTGGCCAGGGAGGTTGAAGTCTTCTCCTACAGGTTTTTGTATATTGCCATTCCTGATATCTGACTTGTGTCCATTTATCCTTTTACGTAATGACTGTCCAGTTTGGCCAATGTACATAGCAGAGGGGCATTGCTGGCACATG